AAAGGTCCATAATTTCAGCAAAAAAAGATCCAATATTTATGGCCTTCAAGGGGGGAATACTAATAGTAGAAGATGGACCCAAAAATCATTATCAACAAACACAGAAGGAATTGCGAAGAACATCTTAAGCAGAAAAACAACCAATATTGGCCAACAAATAACCGATGTAACAAGTTTTACACACACCAATTTGAATACAACTAAAATAGAAATCAATGAATCTAAAAGCATTCATCTTGAACAAAAGATCTCAGAGAACAAAGATCTATCAAAGCTGGTTACTATTTTTGTGTTTGATATTGAGACAACTGGTTTTAGCAGAGAGAATGAACGTATCATTGAGATTGCATTGCAGGATCTTAGTGGTGGAGTAAATAGTACATTTGAGACACTCGTAAATCCTGATAAAATTGTCACAAATCCACATATCCATGGGATTTCAACCTATATGGTCAATAGACCCGGTATCCCAAGGTACCATTCTTGAATTTTTATATAATTATTTTAATTTTATGTTAAAGAATCTTGTAGATATAAAAAACTTTGTGTTTTCAGGATGAAAGATTTGATACCCATTTTGATAGATTATGTGGAAAGCCGTCAAAAACCCGGGGGTCAAACATTATTTATTGCTCATAATGGGAAAGCATTTGATGTCCCTTTTTTAATCAGTGAATTCAACCGTTGTTCTTTTGAAATCCCACCAGATTGGGAGTTTGCGGATACAATGACTCTTGCTCGTGAAATCATGAAAGTTGAAGGTCTGTCTCTCTATTTTTCTGGCCCTGTTTTGTACTGTGGTGTGCATTGGACTGAGATTGAGACCGATGTGACAGAACAAGTTGCACTGTGTTTTGGCGTGCATTGGACAAAGACTGTGAGTCTGTGACTGGTGGACAAAAATTGATTTTTTTTGTCCTACCTAACAATGTGGGGTATAGACGCACTCTTGTTCTCTTATCTGTGTAAAAGACGTAAATGCCCTCATCATTTCATCATCGAAAATAGCCTTAGAAAACTCGTCTGGTCCAGTTACACCCCGTTCAGTCATGTCCCTACGGGACATGACTGGACAGGACAGAATCGGACTGGATAAGCTTTCAAGGGCTATTTTCGATGATGAAAATGATGAGGGCATTTACGTCTTTTACACAATAAGAGAACAAGAGTGCGTCTCTATCCCACATTGTTGGGTGGGACAAAAAAAATTCAATTTTTGTCCACCAGTCACAGACTCACAGTCTCTGTCCAACGCACGCCAAACACAGTGCAACTTGTTCTGTATATGTAAGAAAGGTAGCGAATGATATATTTGATTGATGTTTTAATCTATATAATGACATTTGGCAGGATCAAAGCTTTCTTCAAAATCACTTCAAGCACTTAGAGAGTATTATGGAATCCCGGTTATTGGGAAAGCTCACAGAGCCATGGCAGATGTAAATGTGTTGGCGTTGGTTTTACAGAGGATGACTTGTGACTTGAAACTAACGGTTTCTGGTCTTCTTGAAAATTATGCATTCACAGCTTCTGAATTGAGCAATAATTCAAAGAAGAAGAAGAATTCAAGATGAAGATTAAAGACCATGTTGTAGTTTTGTTGTCAGTTGTCATAGATTTTTATAGTAATGTTGTATTTGGGATTCTGTTTAGTTAACAATTAGAAGCAGATTTGGTCATAATTTATTCACCTTTTGGTCTTTTGAACACTATATCTCATTTTTATTGTTCCTAGCTTCTTGTTAAGACTTGAGAACTGAAAAGCTAAGATCTTGTTCTTTTTTGTTAGGGTTTAGGTTGAAATTTGTCTTTCAATTATTCACAATGTACTCATATTTACTTATTTAGTCACTAACTTTTAAATTTGTATCCGTTATGGTCTCCGTTTCATAAATGGACCATTTTTAGCCAACTTTTTTACAAAACTGTCCTATGTTTTAGTTTTTGTTAGAAACTTGGACCTTTTTTAACAAATTTGTCGTAACTTTTTTTTACAAATTTGTGTTTTTTAATAAAAAAAATTTCTAAATTAAAAGGTAAATAATTTTTTTTTGATGAAAAAAGCAAAATTAAATATAAAAACCACTTTTGTAAGAAGATTGGGGCACATTTGTAAAAGAAGTTGAATACATTTGTAACAGAAAAACAAAACTTGCGAAAGCTTTGTAAAAAAAGGTTTGCTAAAGATGGGTAACTATAAAACCTGCTATATGATGTAATGGATACAGTTTTGAAAGTTAAATAACCTTGGATCTAAAGAAAAAAACTAGTTACCAAATGGGTACATGGTGAATGGTTGAATAGCAAATCCCATCCTAACAAGCTTTTAAGAGCCTTTAGCCTTTAAGAAAAAAAAAACTTGTTCGAAAATATGAGTTTAAAACTTTTATTTTAAAAAAAAAAACTTTTACACAAATAAAATTTTCAACTTCAAACCAGTAACATACCGAGACGTATTGTTTAGGTAAAATGATGTTAAAGACAAACTCAAGATTGTAACATATAAAGCATTAACTTATAAGCAACAACTACTAAGGCAGAAGGATAAAAAAAAACAGCAATACAAAATCTATTTTTAAACGTAATTGGTACCAAAACGCATTTTGCCTAATGGTATCAAGGTGTGTAGGAAAGATGTTTCTCCCTAAATGGTTGAACGTTTAAGTTTCGTCATGTACAAAAGTGTGGAGTTGAGTTGGGAGATGATAGGATTAGAGGAGGTGTGTTTGTAGTTAAAAAAAATAGTTGGGATGGAGTAGTGTTGAGATGGTCTTGTAGACTTTTTGTTCAAATTAGTTTTCCTTTTTAAAATAATAAATTACAACTAATATATTTTAATATTTTTAAAATTATATCTAATTCTTTTATTAATAAGAAATCTTTGAAAAAAGTCCTTATATTTGGTCTCTTTATCAATTAAGCCATGCTTTTATTTTTTTGAACAATAAAAGACAACAAACTTAAAACTATCTACACATTTGAGATTTTTGTCTTTAAACAAGTTATGAACCAGGGAGGATCTTTTTGAAAATAGAATACAATGGCATATGTTAAAAAATACAATGTTTTTATATCTAAAGATGTTTTTTTGTAATTTAATTTAATTTTTATTTTATTATTTTTATGTAATATTATTGTACTTTTTTTAGTTGTTTCAGATAATACGAATCAAAACTATCTTATTTTAAAATTATTATATTCTATGTATGTGATAGATGGTCTTGTCTTACTATAATCTCAATGTAATTTCTCTATGAGAATGTTTTTTATTGTAATCTTATAATATCCTAATGGTTTTGAATGTATTATCTTACTATATAATTCAAGTATAAAAATAACAACAATAATAATATAAAAGTTACAAAAACAATTACTTTTAGGAAAAAAAAACATAGGTTAGACAAAGGATGTCCTCTATCACAATGTTACATAAAAACAATAGATTTCATATAAACCTTGAGAGGATTACAAAAATATTTATTTTCAGAAATAATGTATCTTAATCAAACAAAGAGAATATAATAAAATTAAAGTAAGATAATACGTTCTGTCAAATAAATAGAATACAATAAAATTATAAGTTGATAATATCAACTATCATATATAGAGAAAATAGATCAAAGGGCTTCTAGCCCAGCGGTACTAGGTGTTGTCCTCTCTCCTTGAGGTTGAGGGTTCAAATCTCATTGGAGACATAAGTGGTATTAGGAGTAGTTAAGAGTAGTGTAGATTTGCCGTTTTAAAAAAAATATTGAGAGAAAATAGTATAAGATTGTTGCAAGATAATACTCTCTGTCAGACAGAAAAATACAATAAAAATATAGTAAATAGTAAAATAAGATTAAAACAAAACTATAAATAAAGCTATTTTTAGAAGGAAAAAAAAACATTAAATTTTGATCATATTTTTTAAAAAAGCCATAATATGTTGCTTTTATATGTATGTGTCAATGTCGTTATTGTTACGAATGCATTCTCCACATACTTATACTTTGTGAACCGATTGATTTTAACCATTAGAAAACTTAATGAAGGCGTGTACTTGCGATAAGAGGTGGATTGGGTATGTATATGTATTATACTATTATGCAAGGAAAATAAAATTTTCAATAAAAAGATATTAACCACCATGTATTCTTAAAGGATGGAATTATTAGAATTGGATGCCTCATAGGTCGATAAATGAAGAAGCTAGTTTGAAATCAACGGCGGATTTGGAATAATGTTTCCAATTCAATCATGTTCTTTTTTCGTTGATTTTTGAAAGCTTCTTTAAAAAAAAAAAAAAAAAATTGTTTTACTTTTGCAATAATGTCGCTTCATGTTAAGAGTAATTATAATGTTTTTTGTCTTATCTTTTCGGTACAAACATGGTTTGTTATGGGTTTTAATGTTTTTTCTATTTAAGTTTAGTGTTACGAAAAAAATAAAGATGTTATGCTTCGTTTGGTATTATTTAAAAAAAAAAGTTTTCTTGTTCATTTGCTATTGCATCACCTTATATAGTCAATTTTGAGTGTTTTTTTCTTACTAATTTATCAAATATCTGGTTTAAAGTTTTGAAACAAAGAGATGTCTTGTTTGCATGAATCTTTGTTTTGGTAAATTTAGTTGCAATTTTCGCCTCCATTTCCGCCGGTATTGTTGGGATCCGGATCATATTTCACGGTATTTGATTTGGTATTGTTCTTCCGTTTCTAGTTTCAGTGACAAAAGTATTTGATTCGAGTTTTGTGTTTGTTAGGTCGTCTTTGCTTTTGTAATGGCTTTGTTTTGTTGTTGTTTGGCAAACTTTCAATGCTTATTGCTCAAGCATTGTGAGTTTGAGGGAGGGAAAGAGAATAAAGAGGATTAAGTACATTAGTTTAGTACGATGAAATATTAGCTTATTGGATTTTCTTTGTTGTGATGCTTCTACTAGACTCTTTGGGGTTGGTTTGTATGCTGCAGAAATGCAGATCGGTTTGCTTTGGCTGTTTTTATGCAGATTATTTGCTTTTGGCGGCTTTTCGTGCAGATTGTTTGGTTTTGGATGTTTTCGTGCGGGTTGTTTAGTTTCGCTGCTTCTCTTGAAGATTGTTTGGTATTGTTGCTTAGATGAAGATTGTTTGTCGCTATTGGAATGTAGATTGTTTGGTTGCTTGTGGATATGAATGTTTGCTAATGCACACTCAACTTCTCGTTTTCGTTTCTTTGAAGACAAACTTTCAATCCTTGTTTCCACCACATTGTGAGTTTGAGGAGGATGTTAGCATAATAAGTTATTTGGGCTCTTTTTGTATTGGGCCCTATGTTTAGCCCATTAGCTAGGTTAACACTATATATATTTCCTATTTACCTTTCTTTGTATTTATAATTTTCTATTAACAATGTAACATTAGCCGTTTTCTCTCTATATTATTATTAGTTCTATGTAGATTGTTATTAGTTTACACATTTCTCATCCCAATCTTCATGAAAAGCTCACAAATCCAAAATTAATGATGTTTATTGTTATGATTAGTGATATGGATGATGAATCTATGGTTTAAACTTGAGTTTATGCTTCCATTTCTATGTTGTAACCTTGAATTCGAAGGAATACATGCTTTAGGAACTCTAAATCCTAACAATGGTGTATCAGACGTTAATCTATCTAAATTTGAAATTGATTATGAAATTTAGGTCATATGATTTTAATATAGATGTAAGTGTCTATGTGCAAATCGTTGAAGGAAATCAAATATAAAAGTCATGAAAGTGTTTTGAAACTTAAATGAAAGAGTAAGATGATGATCTCCTTTATGATGAATTAATCATGTTATTGATGTTAGTTACAATGTAAATTAGGGCTTAAAACATGGATTTGGATGCTAGATAATAATCCTTGGTCATTAGAAATCAATTTGGAAGTGTTAGAAATGAATTGGATAAGTTTTGGAGCGATTTTCTAGCTTAACAGTCGTTTTAGTGTGACGTACATGTCACGCTATCATGTGACTGGCCTAGTGTAATTCTAACATTGTCATTTTGACATCCTATCCTAAAAAGTTAGTATTTCGTGCTTCCTTTGGGATATTAAACGAGTGCTATGAGATATTTACTTTCATCTAAGCTACAAGTGTCTCCAATTAGTTTAGTTAGAGATTAATTAATGAATTATAATTATTATGGTTCCTTAGGTGATCATTGTCTTATATTCATATTTTGAAGTGAATTAGAATGTTTCATAGACTGGTAAGGCGAGTTACTCTCATGAATACATATCTCTACACTTATTTTGTGAATTATAACTTCTATAAAAGTATTCATACATGCCATAATTGTAATACATATGATGTGTTAAAGAGTTACAAAGAGTTTTGAAAGTAGTTTAAAGTGTTAAAAGGGTTTCAAAGAGTATGTATGTATTTGATTGTATTTAAGGAGTTTTAAAGGGTAAAGAGCATACATAATTGCTTTTTAAAGAGTTTCAAAGATTAAATAGTATGCTTTATGGAATTTAATGAGCTTTAAAGAAAAAAAAAGTATGTTTGAATTCTTTTGAAGAGTTTTGACGAGTACGAGTATGTTTAACTGTTATAAAAAGTTTGATCATAAACATTGCATTCATGTTTAATTGTTATGTCTTGAGTGAAGTCTAAGCACTAAAGATTTAAACCAAAGGGTTTTGGGCATATTGTCCCATGCAAGTGAGAGATGTTTGTTTTGTGATTTACATGTTAGACATGTCATGATCAAGGGAATAGGCATTGCAAACTTATTCCATGGTTTCATGTGGTGGACACATGATTCTAAAATAAGAGTAAAGA